GTCCAATGTATTTTAAGCATTTTTCTGTAAAACCACATCTCTGAGTCCTCAAGAAATTGTTTGGCTCCCTACCAATTGTCCACAACTCACAAAACTGGATGTATGTAGCAAGCAAGAATTATTTTTCTAACTCTCAATGACAAGGATATATTGCACTAGATGTTCTTTATTTTATAAAATGCAGTCTGGGCCTGTCCTATTCTGTTTCTTATTTCAGTAATGCATCTACCATCTGATGTTATCCATGTGCCCAGATAGTTAAATTTCTGTACTTATCCCAAAATAAAACCATTGACTTTTATTACTCATTTAGGATTAATTATTTTCTTTGATACAACCATTACTTCTGTCTTCCCACTATTCAAACTGAGGCCCATTCTTCCACTTTCGAATAGTGTATAAAACTGATCTAAACGAAAAAAAAAAAAAAAAAAAAACATTTAGAAACATGTCATGTTTTGCATCCTTCAGTCAGTCAGTGGTAACTAATATCTAGGAATGAAAGTATTCTTAGTTTTATAACAAGTAACTAAACTTGTAAATTTTAACTGACAGCTTAGTTAATCTATGAAAGCGGCATTAAATTAAAAAAAAAAAAACACACACACACACCTTCGTTCCATGTTGTCAGCATTAAGGCAGCTTCTTGTCTCACTGAAGGTATTTCCAGCTGTACTAAACAGACGTTCACTTGGTACTCTCGTAGGTGGTGCACAAAGATAACGCTTGACAGTATGAACCAGGTGGGAAATCTTGACATGTTTATTTTCCACCAGTCCCCAAACAGTTGTAAGGTAACCACTATTCGTATTCGGCCCGACCGCAACTATTCTGCCGAATACCGAATAGTTATTAGGTCCACTTTTCGGCCCCGAAGCGAATACGAAGTGAATATTCGGTACACCCCTAGTTAAAACCCCGTGAAACCGCGAAAGATGATCTCACCTATCACGGCATTCTGAACACCCGATCAGGTCTCGGTCAACTGAATGCTAATTCGAATATCGTACCACATATCATAGCCACACAAGACTATGACAACATTTTACTATATGGTCTAAATCAACTATAGGACCCGACTTATCAATAAAAAAAAAAAGCCTCACTGTGGACTCTAGTCAATGATCTTAGGGACACCGGTCAAGCGTCCAGTCACTGCACTACCGCCTCTGCCACATACAAAAAATGAAACAATTTATGTATATATATATATATATATATATATATATATATTTATATATATATATATAATATATATATATATATATATATATATATATATATATATATAACTATATATTATATATAAAGTTGTATAGTTGACTCAGTCTTCAGAGTCAAACCCAATATATATATATATTATATATATATATATATATATATATATTATATATATATATATATATATATATATAAATATAATATATATATATATATATACATGTCTAAAAGTACTAAACAAAACGACTTTTTTTTTCCGCAGACTGAAGACATTGTAGGAGAGAAACGGCAGTGTTTATTTGAGTACAATCTCATATGTCGACACCTCATTTCCTTTTTGCCAATTCTTCCTTTCCTCCCAGCCTCAATCTTTCGTTACCATGTTATATTTTCATCTGAAATAAATCACTCACTAGCCACATGAAGTGACGCAGCCTTTCAGCAAATCTAAACAATGGCAGCCCTTCTTTATTGCAGTACTCAAACACTATCGGGAACGACCCCTGTGGCCCCAATCTTGCTGCAGACCGGAAACGATTGCCGTCAAGGATAGCTGTTTTTGCTGTATGACTGTAATAGATTCGGATTCCTACTTTCAGCAGGACCGCGAGTCATTGTGGCAATAGATCGATAGCATAAAGTGACAAAATGGTCCCTAAAATAATTGAATTCATCCCTCATCGGCTTCTTTAGGCTGGGCCCCAAATTGTTGTGGTTGTAGGTTGCCAGGGTGGCCTGTCATGGCAGATTTGGTGTGATATTCATCAGCTGGAGGCAGTTTGATGCAGGCAGTTATCTTCATCTAGTTTTCTTGCTGGTCGTAAAAGTCCGCCTTTCTGCCAGTTCTGAGCAAGTTATACGGCAGTTTTCTTTTATGTGAGTAAGCCTAAACAGACGATGTTAGAACAGACGATGTTAGTTTGGTCAATGTCCTGTTTCACACATGACATGCAGGGACAGACTCATTCGCTAACGGTTCTCCAGAAATGGGTGATAACTGTTCTGGCGCCCAAGAAATAACCGACTATTTGGCGTACATTCTTTATGTTTGTTTTTGATATTAGTCTTCTCTACATCTGAAGAAATTTAGCGCATGGCAAGAAATAATTGTCACAGTAACTAGTCTTATCAGAGGAGACATGGTTAAATAAAAAATAAAAAAAACCCTGAATATTAGAAACGTTTTCGTTTTCATAAAATTCACGAAATTTATACTGCCACAAAAAAACGAAATGGGCCAATAAATAATGGTAAATGTACCCATCCCAGCTACCCGTGGAGACCACATCTTTGATGTCAGGTCCACAGGAAATTCAAAGAGACCTTTTTCAAAGTATTCTAAGAAGCTATAATTTTGGCAGCAGCAATGGCTCACCAAGTAATCACTCATCTGGTGTACACTACTGCCCTAGGACGGGTAATAGTTAGGTGGTGCTAGTTCCGTTTTCTGAAGTTATATGGTAAATTTGACACCCAGCCAACAAGCAGGCAAACTGACCGCAATAAAACCGCTTTTCACTTACACAAAAAAAGTGGCTGGGGTTTTTTTTAAGGAAAAAAAGAGAGGGGGGGGGGGGGAAGACGCCCAGTCAGGTACAACTTTGTGTTTACAACTTCTAAATCCCGAGTTAGAGTCTCGCAGACGGAGAAGAACTGGGAAAACATATTTTAATTTTTTTTTAAAGCAAGGAACATAGGATGCAGTTACGTCACACACGCATGCACACAAACACACACACACACACAAGCACGGAAGCACCCACCCACACACACACACACACACACACGCACGCACGGAAGCACCCACACACCCACACACACACGCACGGAAGCACCCACACACACACACACACACACACACGCACGCACGCACGCACGGAAGCACCCACACATAGGATGAACGAATAAGGAGACACAAGCAACAATTTAACGTACTGCTTTAGAGAGAATGGACTTAGTGCTAGAAGCTTTAGCTAAATAATAATTAAAATAATAATGACGCTGAATATGAGCATATATAGCAGACAATACTCTATTTGCCCACCATCTCAATCGGGACTGAAGCGTTAATTGTAGAGAAATGTGTTCACTGACCTCCCCATTGGATGGATTTGAGTCTCTTTAATTAAAATGGCTAAAGCCAATGAAGGAAACATTAACTATAGAACGTAATCTCAGCCAGTAAGTTTGTTAATCATAATATGCATCTATGAGGATATGAAATTCTAATATCTAACACCCCTCCCCACGCCCCTCCACCCCCCCCCCCAATAAAAAAAAAATCACACTGATTTATATGATTGGAGAAGACAACAACAATGGGACGGTACAACTGTCCTCTGAAAGGTTGAATGTGAGTAGTTCATCGGGGCCAGAATTAGGAACATCAACCTTCCTCTGATCTCATTTATGTAAACATCTTTCACAGCCCAGAAGACATGGACGCCCAAGCCTAATTAACAGTCAACACCTAATTTGGCAAATCATTCACAACAAACAAACTTCCTGAATTATACGACTGAATGGAAGGTACATGGATGTCGCTAAGTGTGCAACTTGTGGTCTCTACAATCATGTCCAGGGTCTGTGCTATAGGGAGGATGTACTTCATCCATGGCAAAACTAGTATGGTCATGGGCTGTGATTACCATGCGCCTTCCCCCCCCCCTCCCCTTTCCCAAATAGCATACAGAACATTATCATTTGTGAAAAAGTACCAACAAAACAACGACTAAATCCCGTTCCATCATTCCCCCTCCCCCCCCCCCCCTCCATTCCTACCCCCCCCCAACCCCCCCCCCCCCCCCGCTCCCAGCCCCAACGCTGGATCTGTCGTGAACAAATCTTTAAAAATAATTACTACGATCATATATATAATATATATATATATATATATATATATATATTATATATACACACATATATACGTGTATATATATATATATATATATATATATATATATATATATATATATATACATATATATATTTAATAGGCAAACAAAATACAGTAAACACAGTTACAGTTGCAACAATGTGCGTTTTGCTTCTAGCTAATGTTTTAATTTTAAATGTAATGTTTCACACATAACTTCAAGGCGATAGGATCAACATAATTGTACCAGGTTTAATTTTACTTGGCCCAGTCTTTCCCACAGACAGGCTGGTCTCCTGCCATGGTCTCATACAAAGCACGAACTTGTACCTCTAAAGAGGAGACAAAATGGGCTACACTAAAAATCTGCATAGAATAACAGTCTGAAGGCGAACCTGCAACCTTCAGAGCGAAACAATTAACAATTTTGCCACAGATCACCGCTCACTGAATAAGGTACGCTAAAGCAAATAGGTTTTGTGAGTTAAAAATAATTTACAGTTGCCCCAATTTGTGATTAAAACTACACTTTTCTCAATCTGTGACACAACATAGGGAGAGAAAGCATTGATCGATGATGGCGAATAACAGAAAGGAAGATACGTTAATGAGAAAATGAGGAAGTTGAGCAGGACACAATTCACATTTACTTCTTCTTCTTTTTTTTGTCTCTTCCACCATTTACCTCAGCGAAATGTGTGGCGGGGAGGGGGAGGGGGGCCTTTAGACAAAATTATGCAACACGTCAAGATTCAACTAAAAGCCGGAAATGTCTTCGTGGAGATACTTTTCTAAGAGATCAGAAAGACACACACGTACACGCACACACGCACGCACGCACGCACACACACATACACACACGCACGCACACACACACACACAGAGGCACATGACAACAGCCCACCCTGTCTTGGCGAAATTGGTCCAGTAGGTCATCACTGCCTCACTGAGCATCTTCTCTGTGTCGAGTGTAGGACGACGGGAAGGGAGACAGCCCATTCACCAGCGGAGATCCGAACACGTAGGGCAGCTCGTCGCCGTGAATGCCTAGGGAAACATGGATGTGTATGTTAGCGGACAGTTAGACAAGGATGCACAATTATTTGCCAGTGGTAAGCGAGATGGCTTGCCGAACCGTTTGCTTGAGTCCTCATCTCAATAGGAAGAGAAGCAAAATCGTCCATGCCAGTCCGAAAGGCCAATGATGATGATGCTGATGATAATGATGATAATGATGATAATGATGATGACAGGCTCTTAGACAGATAGGCTTAAAATCAGTTACATATAATTTGCGATGACAAGACAGCAAATAAAAACTATCGGCATGAATTTGACTAGATCAGCCATCACGTGACATTACATATGTTATGATCTGGGTGTAGCATCATATGCCTAATGTAAAAAAAAAGCAAGGGACTTTTCCCCATGCCTTTAAGTATAGGGAAAATACCATCATTTTATAGACCAACGGCACTCAGTTGGTCATGTGGTCAACATCATACCGGCCGACTTTACTTCCCATGACTGTGCCTTGTACCCATGTAAGGCTGGGTCGATCTGGGAATCTAATGTAATTTTTTCAGGACCCGAACTCACGACCTTCTGATCCTCAGGCGAGCGAATATCAGCTAGACCACGACGGCCTCGTACGCCCGAATGGCAAGAGGTTTTATTTTATAGTACTTTATTTTATAGTATTTTATAGTACCAACAAGATTGTATATGTAAGACAATTTTGAGAAACATACGCACATAGCATTTTTTTAAGCAAAGAAATCACCACATTCTTACAAACTCTAAAAGTATCAATGCCGAATGTAGACAATGCAGAAAAGAGACAAGAAAAATGGTTATCATTGACAAGAGACCTCGACATTTGGACATAAACAGTTGGTGTGGTAGCAGTGCTAGATTTCGGTGCCAAAAAAAAAGCGAAATGGTTGTACCACTTAATTTCGGCACCAAACCACAGCATATCATGTATACTAAACATTTAAACCAGGGGCCATCCATGCGAAAGACGGATAGAGGAACTAAGAGTCCTACTGGAACCTCCGTGAAACAGACACACAGATGGGCAATCTGCTAATTATTACATTTCACATCTATAAGGAAGAAAAAAAAATAGAATCAAGATTGAATTAGGAGCTTAAATAATCAGCATGCAAGGATTCATTTAGTAAAGGAAATTGGTTTTATATATATATATATATATATTATCCAAGATAGACATTCATATAGACTGATTACCTTGCACATCTTCAGAATCGCTCTCTGACTGAGTCGAGTACGCAAATGAGTAGACGTAGGTGTCTGCCAGATCTGCATGGTGGTTTGCCATCTCAAACAACGGGGCCACATATTGACCGTCACTGAGCAATTCTAAAATATTATCTCGATTGGAAATATAATCAGAAGTCCCTGTCCAGTCTGTGTAATGGTGATCCAAAATTTCGAAGATTTTCTGACGATGGTATCTGAAAACATTTTGAACATAACTCCTTATAATCTGACTCTTTCTGAACCCAGAAATTCCCTTTTTTATATCCTCTTGCTTCAGGTATGCATAAGCTTCATTTTTGGTGACCCCAAACATAACTGGAACAGAAGCAAATTTGGAATTGGGCTCCTTTAGAAGTCTTTTCACTTCCTCGGGAAGGATTGTCCACGAATCAACTGAGGGCGCAAAACAGGAATAGTATTTAGGTGCATCAGTAGCAGCAGCTACCAGTTCAGCATAGGCCCTTCCCGGAGGCAGTGAATGAGTGCCCGAGTACTGGATGTGTACCTCGAGCAGTTCACGCTGTTGGCCAGCTTCTCCGTACACCACTTGGGGTCGTAGGAGATGGCCCAGGTACTTAGAGCTGAACCACTCTGGAGAATCGCTCTTTGGAAGAAGTTGCCTCGTTCCTCTGTGGAGATATACATGGACAAATTATGTATGTATATAAATGTATAAATATATACTAATATACATACAAAACTCATATATATATATATATATATATATATATATATATATATATATATATATATATGTGTGTATCTGTGTGTGTATGTGTGTGTGTGTGTGTGTGTGTGTGTGTACACAAACGGACACTCATATTTATATATTTTATATATGTATTTAAACACACACGAAGAATTGGTGATTTTTAAGAGAAGAAAAGTGCCTAAATTAATAATAAAAGTCAAATTTGTTATTTTAGGACAAGTACAGATATTTAAGTACCTAGGCACGTCGATAACATCCGATGGAAGATGTATCACAGAGATTTAAAAAAAAATAGAATAGGACATACCAAAACTGTATTTTAAAACATAAAAAACATTTAGTGCAATAAATCCATGTCACCTGCGATATGCTGACAAAAAGTTTTGATAGCTGAAAAGGAAACGCAACTGCAAGAAATGATAGATTTTAATAGTTAAAATGAAAACCAGGGTCTTAGTTTGAACAGCATCTTACTTTGAACAGCAGAAAAAGAGAAGTAATGGTATTACAAAGAAAACTGACTCCAAAATGCAACATCAAAGTAAATGGGACAAACAACAAGCAAGGTAATATGTTTAGGCACTTAGGTACCCTGATACAATCAGATGGAAGATGTATTAAAGAAGTTAAATGTTGAATAGCTCAAGAAAAGGCAGCATTTTACAAAATGAAGAAAATTTTAAACAATCTTTCTTTGTAAACTTAGACGAGAACGATAATTCTTAAAACTATATAAATCCTATATTGATATATGGATGTGAATCATGGCCAGTTATTAGATTAGTGAAAACTTATTTGGCAGCTGCGGAGATGTTGTTTTATAGACAAATGGTAAGAATACCCTGGACAGACAAAAAGAGATAAATGAAGAGTCTGGAAAGAAACTGACTCACGAAGGAAACTGATTGCCCATATCAGAAAGAGACAATCTACATTCTTTGGTCATGTGACGAGAAGAAGAAAACTGGAGTACATCGTGACGGTAGGAAAATTTGGAGGCAGGAGAGGCAGAGGGACACCGATAGAACAAATGTTGGACAGTATGACACCGTGGCATGAAAGATCGTCTGTGTAAGAGTTGATTGATAGTACACAAAACAGAAGGTTGTGGATATTTTAACTACAAACGCCACACGGCATGTCATTGGAGGTTAGAAAAAGCATTCTCGAGTGCTATATAGAGCCAGTTCTAACATACGGCCGTGAAGCCCGGACAATTAATAAACACGCCGAACAATATCTTGAGGCCTCAGAGATGTGGTTTTACACAAGAATACTTAGAATTTCTTGGACAGTTAGGAAGAGCAACCCAGATGTTTTTGCAAATGGCATATAGGAGTGTCAACACACAAACTGATAAACGCAAATGCGGATCGCAGATTGTGGAGAGGCATGATCATTCCAGTCAGTCGGCAAGTCACTTAATGATGATACATACACAAACACCCATATATTTATATATATATATATATATATATATATATATATATATATATATATATATATACACACACACACACACGCATACATACAAAAATGTACATAAAATACACATTTATGTGTGCTTTATCAATATTTAAATTGCAACTTTGTTGTATCTCCAGGCAATGTTCCCTGCCTGTGTTGTCCTAAATCCGTCCGGTGCTGTATTTGGGCTTAGAAGTGATGTCCGATTTCACAGACAATGAACTACAGCTTCATGACAGATGACAGAAAGAGTGGTCAACATCACTTGTCGTGGATGAACAACAAATAATACAATGTGTTGTTTTCTACTGTAGATATAATGCTACTTCTACTGTAGATATAATGCTACCTTTGTTGTACTTAATCTTTGTAGTATCGATGTATAACATGCTACTTCTACTGTAGATATAATGCTACCTTTGTTGTACCTAATCTATGTAGTATCGATGTATAACATGCTACTTCTACTGTAGATATAATGCTACCTTTGTTGTGTACCTAATCTTTGTAGTATCAATGTATAAACATGCTACTTCTACTGTAGATATAATGCTACCTTTGTTGTACCTAATCTTTGTAGTATCAATGTATAAACATGCTACTTCTACTGTAGATATAATGCTACCTTTGTTGTACCTAATCTTTGTAGTATCGATGTATAACATGCTACTTCTACTGTAGATATAATGCTACCTTTGTTGTACCTAATCTTTGTAGTATCAATGTATAACATGCTACTTCTACTGTAGATTTAATGCTACCTTTGTTGTACCTAATCTTTGTAGTATCGATGTATAACATGCTACTTCTACTGTAGATATAATGCTACCTTTGTTGTACCTAATCTATGTAGTATCGATGTATAACATGCTACTTCTACTGTAGATATAATGCTACCTTTGTTGTACCTAATCTTTGTAGTATCAATGTATAACATGCTACTTCTACTGTAGATTTAATGCTACCTTTGTTGTACCTAATCTTTGTAGTATCGATGTATAACATGCTACTTCTACTGTAGATTTAATGCTACCTTTGTTGTACCTAATCTATGTAGTATCAATGTATAACATGCTACTTCTACTGTAGATATAATGCTACCTTTGTTGTACCTAATCTTTGTAGTATCAATGTATAACATGCTACTTCTACTGTAGATATAATGCTACCTTTGTTGTACCTAATCTTTGTAGTATCAATGTATAACATGCTACTTCTACTGTAGATTTAATGCTACCTTTGTTGTACCTAATCTTTGTAGTATCAATGTATAACATGCTACTTCTACTGTAGATATAATGCTACCTTTGTTGTACCTAATCTTTGTAGTATCAATGTATAACATGCTACTTCTACTGTAGATTTAATGCTACCTTTGTTGTACCTAATCTTGGTAGTATCGATGTATAACATGCTACTTCTACTGTAGATTTAATGCTACCTTTGTTGTACCTAATCTATGTAGTATCGATGTATGACATACTACTTCTACTGTAGATATAATGCTACCTTTGTTGTACCTAATCTTTGTAGTATCAATGTATAACATGCTACTTCTACTGTAGATTTAATGCTACCTTTGTTGTACCTAATCTTTGTAGTATCGATGTATAACATGCTACTTCTATTGTAGATATAATGCTACCTTTGTTGTACCTAATCTTTGTAGTATCAATGTATAACATGCTACTTCTACTGTAGATTTAATGCTACCTTTGTTGTACCTAAACTTTGTAGTATCGATGTATAACATGCTACTTCTACTGTAGATATAATGCTACCTTTGTTGTACCTAATCTATGTAGTATCGATGTATAACATGCTACTTCTACTGTAGATATAATGCTACCTTTGTTGTACCTAATCTTTGTAGTATCAATGTATAACATGCTACTTCTACTGTAGATTTAATGCTACCTTTGTTGTACCTAATCTTTGTAGTATCGATGTATAACATGCTACTTCTACTGTAGATATAATGCTACCTTTGTTGTACCTAATCTTTGTAGTATCAATGTATAACATGCTACTTCTACTGTAGATATAATGCTACCTTTGTTGTACCTAATCTTTGTAGAATCGATGTATAACATGCTACTTCTACTGTAGATATAATGCTACCTTTGTAGTACCTAATCTTTGTAGTAACGATGTATGACATGCTACTTCTACTGTAGATATAATGCTACCTTTGTTGTACCTAATCTTTGTAGTATCGATGTATAACACTCCGTTTTTCTTTCAATTTTATCTCAGTATTAATATCTTTAGAGAGAAAGTTGGATATGACAATGTCTGGATTATATTGACAGACAAAGAATGAAATAAAACGGCAATCTAGGGAGAATGCAGCCAGACCAGTCTGCATATGAGACTTTTCATAGTAGAACATCTGGGAGGAAGGCAAGAGGAAGACCAAGAAAAAATGAATAAATGGTGTAGATGAAACCTGCACCAAAAACAAAAACAAAAATGAACAAAAAGGAGCCACCGAGAAGCGCAAGACAAATACAGAAAACCACGACGCTGGGCTACAACTGATTTCAGCGAGACTAGAAAAGAAAAAAAAAAGATTAGTATCTTTCTCGTATGTTTACTTGTAGATAATATTTGAATTTTTCTGAACTTATTATTTTAGCACCGACCACAATATTATTTCTCCTGTTATTTAAGTTGTCTCACTGTATATTATTGTTACCATTTTTTATGTTTCATACTTTGATCATCATCATTATCATCATCATAAACCACTTCTGCCGTTAAGCGCCGTGGGGAGGAATAATTTGCGATCTAGTGCACGTTGGCTGCCACTGGCTTTTGTCATGCCGTAAAGGCGTAGAGTGTCTTTAATGTTGTCGATCCATGTTTTCCGCGGCCGTCATCTTGCTCTTGTAGCTGATCTTCTGAGATGTAGTGCTTGTGATGGCATTTCATCTTGCGGCTTTCTAACAAGATAACCAAACCACTTGATCTGCTGTTTCTCGATGAATCTAGTACAAGGTATCGTTCACACAATTTGCCTGATATTTTTATTATTCACTCGATCTCGGATGGTTAGGTTGGCTTTCCTTTTCTCAGACACCTCATCTCGCAGGTGGTGATTTTGCGTATATTCGGCTTTAGATAGTGTCCATGTATGGCACTGGTAGCTTAATGATGGAATGATTATGCTATTAATAATCTGTTTGGCGTACATTTTTCCTACGTGACTCAGTAGTGATGTACCTCTGTATGCTTCACATTCTCTCCTATTACCTTTCTTTTCCCATTAGGGTACTATTCGTGCCTGTTGCCACTCAGCTGGGACTTTTCTTTCTTCCCAAGCTATATTAAAAATTCTAGTAAGCCATTTAACACCCACTTCTCCGCATGCTTGGTTCCCTTCTGTATTAATTCCATCAAGACCTGATGCCTTGTTTCCGGGGCTGTTCAGTATAACTGCTCATACTTCCGCTGCTATGAAATTTGGTTCCTCTTGTTCGCAGCTTTGAGGTACAAAGTTAAAATTATCTACGTTGCCTGTGGGGTTGAGAAGTTCTTGAAAATACTCTGCCCATCTTGCGAACCTCTTTTGTATGCTTAATAGAGGTATGCCTCTCTTGTTGTTGATGATAGTTGTTGGGTTGTAGCTTATGTCTCTTTCTCTCATTATTTTTACATGTTTATAGAATTCTCTAGGGGAGTTCTTGCTGAGGATAGCCATCTGTTAACCATAATTTCTCAAAGACTCGTCTTTAGATGTTTTAATTTTGCGTTTTTCTTCTCTTCTTACTAATCTGTAATGTACATAATCTTGATGTTATTTTGATTTTAGCCATTTTTTATATGTCTCCTTCTTTCTGGATACGATGTCATTCACTTCGTTGTTCAACAAAATAGTTCTTAAACGTTTAACACCACCTACCCTTCTGACTCCGCCTATGGTTTCAAGTGTGTTGAGCATAGCCGTCCTAAAACATGTCCACTCTGAATTGATGTCTGAATATTCGCCTGGAAGATTATTTAGTAGCTCTGACATTTCTTGTTGGATCTCATCTTTAACCACATTATCCTGAAGTCTCCATAAGTTGATAACATCTGTGGTTGCTATTTTATGTCTTGGTTTTCTGTACTCAGTGTTCTTTTCTATGATAACTGGTCTATGATCCGTGTCAATGTTTGTGTTTGGTAGGACTCTTGAGTCTATTAATTGTCTTCGTTTTGTCTTCCTGAATAGAATAAAGTTAATTTGTAAAGCCTGGTTTAAATTGTCCCATTTATATCAGGTTTTGGTATGACTGCGTCGATGTTGAAAAAAACTTTTTTTGTTACTATGACCTTGTTGTGAACACAAGTTAAGTAGATGTTCTCCGTTTCTGTTACAATCCGTATCTGTATCACTGAATCGCCCTATACATTCCTCCCATGGCGATCTTCTTGTACCTATTCTTCCATTAAAATCACCCATCACAATTAGATCATCACTTTCACTGACGTTGTTTAAAATGTTGGAAATATATTAAAATATCAAACTTTGATATTGTTTTGATTTCACGACATGGTATCATTTCTAAGACACGTATTTATTTTATCATATCCCTAAAGTTAACGTATAATTGTAATTTTATTATCTTTATTGTTATCTTTCAACACAAGGACAGAATCATTTTTTTAGCTTTCAGGTGTTTTTGCAACACATATTGCGAAGTGCCCTTTGTATGGGTTAATCAATATTCGTTAGCTTATGTGGAGACTCAGCGCCAGTGGACTATACTTTCCATAGTATGTCCTAGTTTTCATCTGTACGCAGAATCCACAGAGAAGCACTGGTCATTATTAACTTATGACCCCCGGCTGGACAGACAAGCATGGTTGCCTCTGTCTTTCAACATGTGTGTGCCCTATTTTTGTCTATCCATATGGTTGTATTGTCTCTGATGTTATCTTTAGGGTAACTTTATGGTTTTCTGTATCTAGTTTATCGTATTACATGATTAGTTGGAATCCCTTGGGAAACGAAAGAGACATTCTTTAGTTCAATACAAGCAGCATTTAAAAACATGGAATTCGGATTTGTTTATGGGAGAGACTGAAAAAAAAAAAAAACTGAAGGAAAAAACAAAACCAGAACAATTGTGCTTCAGGGTTGCCGTTTGTCACATCTGCAAGGAAGGACAATGGCTCAACTAAGAAGTGTATCGCAAACTGTTAATTCTCACGGCTGTTTACGGCAAATTTAGGAACTGATAATGATGATGATGACTAACGTGTTTCTCCCATTACGGGTCCGTGTAATGTTGATGTTTTTCGTCAATACGCCCAGAGGCATTTCTTTCGGCAAAGCCTTAACTTTTCATGTACATAAATCTATATTTATATTGCCATTTAATAAGAGGTTCATTATCATTAATACTGATTCTCATATGTAAATATAATCATTTATACATTCATTGGTTTACAATTTAGTTTTGCCTATTATACGATGCCACGGACAAACGAAATCAGCTTAATGTTTTTAACTAAAGCTTCCATTTGGTCAAAATTGCGAGCCTCTTGAAAAAGTTTGCCAGATCTTTTTCGCATTACGATTTATTTTAGGAAAAAAAAAAAAATATAAAGCAAAAGATATCAAACCACCAAAAGAAAAAACAAAAACAAAACTGGTCAGCTTTACGTTATCACAATCACAAACCACAAGTAAACGTTGCGACTATAAAGCCTTCGTGAGCACGTGCAATAAAAAGACAATGTATCAGTCAGCAAACAAGACCACAGAAAACATAGTATTCTCACAGACTATAGACTGTATTATGAAGACACAACAATTTCTAACACCAGAAAAGAAATTGAGGAGAATCTGGCAGTCGCCGGCATATCCACTCGATGATCTGGACTTCCTAATCAATTAGTTCCCTCTTGTCCAACTTTGGAAATTAGATGCAAGTTAATCAAGCATCTTTTCCTGCGTAGGACAGCAGGTACACCTGGCTGGTAAAGCTGCTAGATGTGCCCAGTTATAACTTTAGGGCTTGAATGTGGTATTTAAAATTTGCCCCGTTGAACTGCTTTCCAGACATGTTCTCTAATGGCATGGTGTCAAACCTTCAGGCAGCGGTCGGGGCATGGCGGGAAAAACCCCGCATGGCGAATGAAAGTTAAATTAAACATTATCTCCCCTGATAAAATGCAACTGAAAGATTAGTAATCACAAATCTATTTCTGCTGTCATGTAGCCAAAGCAGAATAATAGATCAAGATAAAAAAAAAAAAAAAAAAATCAGAATACAAAAGACAAAATGTAGCCTTCGAAGAACTCTGGAACCTGGGAGAGTCAAGTCAAATAAATTAAAACTAGTAGAACATAACAACATGTAGTTCTAACGTTAAATCAGTGCTACACTATGGTGCAGAAACATGGAAGACAACTGCATGAATTACCAATAGTCTACATAGCTCTGTTTCTGGTACCAATAGTCTACATAGTTCTGTTTCTGGTACCAATAGTCTACATAGCTCTGTTTCTGGGTCTGTTCAGAATAAAGAAAATGATATGGTACGACAGAAACTCTGATGGGATAAAAACAAAATCTAGTGAACGTGAGGAAAAGACGACGGGGGCTTCATACATACAAAAAAAAAAAAGTTCTTTATCAGAAGCCATAGAATGAAGAGCATAACAGAAAGGGGAAGGGGGGAGGGAGCAATCAGGCGAAGAGGCGAATAATGCACTAAATTGGGAGACAAGGGAATAGCTGTATGTGACAGCAACAGATAAGACTACGTGGGATGAGTTGTTGAGTGTCTATTCTCCGCTCTGGGGTAGAGGGAAGAAAAAGAAAGAGAAGAAGAAGAAGACAAGCGGGTACGAATTTTGTTTTCACTCAAAGGACTATCTATAACACTCACTCCCATCCCGCACAAACAGAAACCCACCTGTCACAAACGGGGACAACATCAAAAGATTCACTATGGCCGCGCCGGCTCCATGCCCAAATAAGGTCACTCTCTTGGGGTCGCCACGAAAATCGGCAATGTTTTCACGTAACCAAATTAGAGCTTGAATGATATCCAGCAGTGCGTAGTTGCCCAGGGCCGACTTGTCTTCTGTACTCAGAAATCCTGAAAGTGGGAAACATGGGGAAAAAAAATGAAATTTATGTTTGTTTATATTCTTTAATGGGATGAACATTGCTAACAGAAAGGTTGCTGTGAGACATTCGTAAATGGATGCAAAGAAGCTGTTGTGACAGAGTAAAAAATAACAAGGAATGAATTTCATCATGTGTCTCTCGAGCTGCAAGTAAAAATTTAACGGACTAAAAAGGTAGCAAAAAACTCACAAAGGAAGTAAAGAAAAAAACAATTGTAAAAGAAACAAAGACAGTAAAACCGTAAAAGAAGTATTTAATGCAGAATTGTAAAAGAAGCCTGGAACAGTCAAACTAAAAGAGAAGCTAATAACAGTAAAACTGTAAGATAAGCCAGGAACAGTAAAACTGTAAGAAAAGGAAAGAGTAAAACTGTAAAAGAAGGAAAGAGTAAAACTGTAAGAGAAGCAAAGAACAGTAAAACTGTAAGAGAAGCACAGAACAGTAAAACTGTAAGAGAAGCAAAGAACAGTAAAACTGTAAGAGATGCACGGAACAGTAAATCTGTAAGAGAAGCAAGGAACAGTAAAACTGTAAGAGAAGCAAGGAACAGTAAAACTGTAAGAGAAGCAAGGAACAGTAAAACTGTAAGAGAAGCAAGGAACAGTAAAACTGTAAGAAAAGCGAAAACAGTGAAACTGTAAGAGAAGCACAGAATTATAAAACTGTAAGATGAGCAGAGAACAGTAAAACTGTAAGAGAAGCAAAGAACAGTAAAACTGCAATAGAAGCAAGGAACAGTAAAACTGTAAGAGAAGCAAGGAACAGTAAAACTGTAAGAAAAGCAGTAAACAATGAAACTATAAGAGAAGCCAAGAACAGTAAAACTGTAAGAGAAGCCAAGAACAGTAAAACTGTAAGAGAAGCCAAGAACAGTAAAACTGTAAGAGAAGACAAGAACAGTAAAACTGTAAGAGAAGCAAGGAACAGTAAAACTGTAAGAGAAGCAAGGAACAGTAAAACTGTAAGAGAAGCAAGGAACAGTAAAACTGTAAGAGAAGCAAGGGACAGTAAAACTGTAAGAAAAGCGAAAACAGTGAAACTGTAGGCGAAGCACAGAATTATAAAACTGTAAGATGAGCCGAGAACAGTAAAACGGAGAAGCAACAAATAGAAAACCCTTAAGAGAAACAGTGACACTGTAGGAGAAGCAAAGAATAGTAAAATTGTAAGAGAGGCAGAAAACAGTGAAACTATAGGAGTGGCAAAAAATAGTAAAACTGTAAGAGAAGGAAACAATTCGAAAACTCCAACATTCAAGGCATGCCTTCAAAGAATGATGTGAGACTAGCTACCTTATTTAACCGTTGCACAACTGAATGTGTCATGAACAAATCTATTAAAAAAAAAAAAAAACATGGCTTAGCTGATGGACAATGATTCTTGTGGAGACGAAAGGCCCAATCAAACCCGCCCACACTGGACAACAGGTTATTTCGTAATCATGTTGTGGTGCTGCCAGTATAACTGTGTTAAATGACTACACGGTTTGTTTTCCAGAATTGTACCTAATCGTTAATCTTCAGGATACACTGAGTCAAGAAACTGGGAAAGAGGTGGGTAAAATACTCCAGTGACTAACGCTGATTCCGAGAGTGAGAATGAGTGAGAACCGTCATGGACTCGGGGGGTATGTGTATAACTGCAGGACATCGAGTTAGAAAACTTGAAAGTTCATTAATGTATGTGCAATACAAGCGTTACTTTGAAAGGTGTTGAGCGTCTTGGCGAGGGGGGGAGGGACAGCTTGGATTGAAAAGAATGAAAATGACGGTTTGAAACACCCAACAAGGACTGGCAGTCTTGGTCTTCATTTATGTTATGCAATAGTTTTTAAAAAGATTAAGTTATTCACGAGAAATGCTTAGCCCGTCTCTCTAGCGTAGTTGGCTAAACCGGATTGCGCGGAGACCGGGTGACGAACTCCTTGTGGACCGGGTTCACTACCGGGGGTAGGCAGGAAAGCCACATTTTCTTCCAGATTTACGGTATTTACAATAGAATCAAGGCCGAAAGGTTGCGATATCCATAATACCGAACCTAAGGGTTAACAACTCATGGCTTCTGGATACTAAAACAAACAAAATGAGAAATGCTTAAAGTGTCTCATCTGTATTGTATTTATATACAATTAGACATGTCACAGTTGGCAGAAGCCAGGTCAATACTTTCTGTTGAAAGTACATCAATACACAGTCATCATAACCTAGTCGTTAGGGATAATTTCTTGGCTTCCCCAGGAGCCCTGGACTAAATCGGTATGTATTTTTGCATGGTCAATACGTTTTCGTGAGTAAACTAATAGATATTGACTGGCACAAATAAAGATTAAAAAAAAAAAAAAAAAAAAAAAAAAAAACATAGGGGGAAGAATGCAGTTACCCTCTTGGGCGAAACAAAGTCTAAAATCAGCGCTGCGTTTGGGTGCGTTTACATGGTACCTTACATTAGCATGTCAATTCTTTCATTATTATTTTAACAGCTTATTTACACATGCCCTCTTCACCTCCTCTTGTGTCCTCCTCTTCTATATACTCTTTTTCAAGTACAAATACACACCCTATAAAGGCGATTCTAAACCTTCCTATTGTTTGGTGTTTCTTGTAGTTACATCGACAGTTACTGAGAAACTGCATTTGTAAATCTCCTGTCTCTTTTAAGTAGGTTGGTTGGTCCCCCACCTCCCATATTTCTTATGCGTATATTGTAGTTACAGTATTCTTTGGATAATTAATGAAGGTGTATTTGAGAGCTTTCTAAACTGTTCATGTTAGTGACACTGTTTAGGCAAACATAATATCGAGAATAATCTAGCGGAAAACCAGAGTTGCAACAAACTCTTTATAAGAGATATTGACATATTTATAAATTATGTTCGGATGACACACCTTCACACTGCAGCCTGTACACAGCTTTGTAAGCTCTGGTCTCTTTATTCCTCCTATTTTTGTAGTGAAAATTAATAATTATATTTCACACTAACTCAGTACGGCAATCTCATCATTAACAGTCATCACGTCAGTTGTGCCAGCTGCTGCTGCTACTACTGCTACCACTACTATTACTGCTGCTGCTACTACTGCTACCACTACTATTACTGCTGCTGCTACTACTGCTACCACTACTATTACTGCTGCTGCTACTACTGCTACCACTACTATTACTGCTGCTGCTACTACTATTAACATCACTACCACAACCACATAACTGCCACGATCATCACCACTACTGCTCCTCACACCTACTACTACTAACTTCTACTAAAATTATTTCTACTAAATCTGCTTCTATTACTACTTTCTCTGCTACTTCTACTGCTGCTACTGTCACGAGTGACACTGTTAATGCTGCTAATATAATTAAAATACTACTAAAATCAGCCATTCGAACATCAATACAAATATGTTAAAAACATGTATTCCACCTGCTCACACCACTAATGGAACGAACAGTCTGTCTTCTCGTTCAAAGCTTAAAGTAGAATGGCTTCTATGCTTAGGTAGTAGCTTGTCTCATATTAATAAATGCTCTAATTGTCATTCAAGTCACGTTTAGTGGAGCTTTTCTAATCGGGACAAGATGTGCACTACCTATTAAGTTACTTAACTGTTGGCGTAATGCCAAAGGTGTGAAACGCCTTTCATTCATAGACTTCGTATACAGTCTTGGGGTTGTCCGTGCAGTATGAAGTGATGGGACACTTCAGTATTCCAATATCCACGTTCCCACGACGTAATCACTTAATCTACAGTTGTCCTCTTCTGATGAGAGTAATCGGTTCTCTTCAACATGTACGGGCATAGCTTATCATTGATCAAAAGCTTATAGAAGGTTGCAGTTTATTAATATGAGAACAGCGCCCCCTACTAGTGGCTATATTGACCTGGCCCCAGTGCCTATTATATTGGAGTAGAAAATATATTTGCTTTGTAAATATCCATTCCGAATATGACTAATCGAATCATGCACCCACTCTCACATTCTCTTTCCCCCACCGTTGCAGATTCGAGTCAGAAAAATATTCAGGAAGGTGTGGGGTGGTGGGTTTTTTCTGGGGATCTACTCTCAGTAGTTGTTTCGCTCGGCTTTGGAATAAAATCTCAAACTCTCCAACTGTTATGTCTAGGAAATGAACTGCCTACTTCGGGGCACGTTTGTCACCTTTATTCACTTGTCGTGTACGTTGCCAGTCGTCTAGCAGTAGGTGGGACAGAAAACAACTTATTTGCTCTGGCAGACGTATGTGTACACTGACTTGTAAACTCAAAAGAGCAGTGGCGAAATCCAAGCAATGGTGGGCTACTTGTGTTGACGAGAACAGTTCTGTCCTTGAAATTACCAACTTAGTGCAACTGGCGGTCACAAATGTGGCGAGAAACAGCATAGAAAATAAGTCTACGGTTGGAGACTGACACTCGTAGAAGAAGAGGAAGAGTACAAATGTAATGTAAATGTAGTGTGGCTTTGGTAATGACGACTCGAAAGTCGTCGTGTGCACTTTCAATCATTTGTGACGCTGACTGAACCTAATGCCAAAGTATCGAACCGGCCAGCATCTGATCTCTTATTTCTCACTGCCTTGTAGTCTCCAACTTTCCCTTTATCACAGTGAACTTCAGTTTTTTCACTTCCCATAGAATGTAGACTAAGAATTGAGAAGACACACAAGATAATAGCAACTTTGACAGATACAGTGACCACATCGGGATTCCTACATCACATCAGTTTCGTTCCTCTACTTCTAAGAGTGTTAGTCAATGCATATGAGTTATTTCTCATCCTTCTGCGGTAGCCTCTGCGGTTTTCCAATAAACATCTTCACTGAGAAATCATGTATCGTGTGTCAATCATCGAAAGAAGTTTCAAGGCAAAGATTCAGAAGATTCACCAGACTATCAGTTATTATGTACTGAGCAAGAGGTAATAACAAATTAATGTGTAGATGATGAGTTTACCCGCTATCTCATGCAC